AGATACCCAAGAGAGTAAGGGATACTCGGAGATACTACCATTTTTTAACTACAAAGTTGATTGCCAAAGGCATAAATTTCAGATGGCTAATGCCGGAAGGCATTCTAATAAACTGGAACAACACAAGATATCGACTGGATTCAATTTGGAAAGCAGAGGACTTCAAAGTAAGAAACAGAGCAACTCTGGATGAAGGACTGCACCAACAACAAGGGGATAAGCACACGGGAGAGACGGCCCAAGGAGCAATGACACAAGCAGAACAACAGAAGGAGAAAGATGAGCAAGAGGGTGAAGGGGAAGGAATTGCCAGAGAACAAAGGATTACAAGATCAACTAGACCGAAATATAAATAATGGAAATGGAAATGGAGAAAAAAAAATGGATTTTTTTCGGTAAATGTAAATGGACTAAACTCCCCATCAAAAAGAAATAAATTTTTTAGGAAACTTCAGAAATTAAATACAGATATAATTTGTTTGCAAGAGACACACATAAAAAACAACATTATAAACTATTGGAATACTCAAAAATTGGGAAGCTTTATTATACATCAGCACAACAACAACAAAAGAGGGGTTGCTGTATATGTTAAAGAGACAATAGATTCTAAATTAGTGTACTCAGATGAAGAAGGAAGAATTGTAATGGTTGAAATATATCTACATCAAAAATAAATATTGTTAGTGGCAATCTACGCTCCAAACAACAATCAAGAATAATTTTATCAAAGCCTACATAGGAAACTAATAGAAATGGAATACCAAAATATTTGTTTAATAGGGGACTTCAATGTGATAGTAGATGGAACAATGGATTATAAAAGCAACAAAACAGGAAAACCAGCAAGAAGATTACCTAAGATATTTTTTGATATGGCAGAGGAAATTGGAATACAAGATGCTTGGAGAGAAATTAATCCACAAAACCGACAACATACTTTCTATTCAAATAAATAAATCCTGGTCAAGAGTTGATATGATTTGGATGACTTCTGAATTGAGGATGGATATACAGGAAATTGAGATAGAAATAGGTACATGTGCAGACCATAATCCTCTAAAAGTGACATGAAAAGGAATACAAAAAACCCCAAGATGGACTTTAAACCAATCTATACTAAAAGACAAAGAATTTATAGAGTTAGCGAAAAAAGAAATGGAATTCTTCTTTAAAGAAGATAAAGAAGAAGACACATCATTACAAAACCTATGAGATACAGCCAAAGCGTACTTTAGAGGCATAGCTATAATGTATATGGCAAAGAAAAATAAACAGAGAAGACAGCAATATTCATTACTAAAAGCAAAATTTGGAAAGTTAGAAATAGAACTACAAAAAAACCCACAGAAAAAGACTTTGAAAAGAGAAATGGAAATAATAAAACACAAGCTAAATCTGTTGGACTTAGAAAAACTGGCAGAACAGATAAAGAGAGCAAAACAAAACTTTTTTTAAAATGCCAATAAACCAGGAAGATGGTTAGCTTATAAACTTAAAAAACAGAAAGCGAAGAAAATAATACATAACTTAGTAAACGGGAAAGGTTGTTTACAATTCAAAAATGAAGAAATAAAAAAGATAATTAAGGAATACTATAAGGAATTATATGACAAAGAGGAGATTTCAAGAGAGAGAACTGCTCAATACCTAGAAGAAAGTAAACTGCCAAAAATTCCAGAGACATTTAAAACTATGTTAAA